ACAGACAGATCAAACCCAGTAATTCATGCACTCAATGAGGTCATCGGTTTGCTTCCCTTGTAGGGCAAGTGTTAGTAGTAACAAATGGACAAAATCAGTGGATTTCCACTGTGCCTCCAGTGGAAACCAACACTCTCAATTCCATGAAGCAGGGATTCTACGTACTGAGTACTATGATTACATAGTGCACCAAATTTGCCTGGGATACCTCATGATTTAGGTGATGTTATTATTTTAGGTTTCTGTATAATAAAAAACAACTTGCAAATTACTATAGTTTCATGCAGTTCTGCCACAGAGCATCCTATAACTCCTCAAAAACTTTGGATAGCAGTACTCTTATGGCAGACAGAAACTGGTCCAGGATCTGAATCTTAAAGATAACAACACCAGTATGCATCAAATGATTTCCATCATCACATTTCATGTGCTCATACATAAAAGAACAGTAAAGTCTAACTCTCAGAACATCATAATTCTCCCTTAGATTGTTTTAGGGATTCTCTCATGCTAACGATAGACTTGGCATTAATTAGTACTTTAAAACAAGCTTTAACGCAGATTAAATGCTCGTGTTAAACAGAGTGGTTTATTTTCAAAATTTAAACAAAATACCTATAATTTTAAGAAAACAACTTGTGATCTCATTGCTATAATTAAAAGTTTCTCTTTCCTTCTATGACTGCTTTTTAACTTGCAGGTGAAGTTTAACTACATCTGCTTCAGTGCTAAGGATGTTTTTGCAAAGGGTGTCATTCATATTATACGTCTTTAATGGTATAAGAAAAAAACTGATACACAAGTGAAAGGGAAAGAAAAGGTGTGTTTTCTCTCTCATATCAGAAAAAATATCCATTTCTATTTATTTTTACTTACCAGAAGCGCTGAAATATTTTCCTTTCACACAGGAACACATTCTCTGTGTTTCAGAGCACTTTTCCTATTCACCTACGCTATGGGAAGGATAACAAATACCAGTTCAATGTAATAACGTGTATTTCCATTCCACTCCTCTCTGTGTAGCTGAGGCAGGATTTATAAAAACAAGTCATTTTAGCTGACCACACCAAAATAGATATACTAGCTGCTGAGCACATGGCTTGGACATTTCAGTGCACCTGCATAGGAGACATCATCAACATTATTATTCAGCAGCCAAGAAAACAAGTTTGTTAATTTAAGTATTTCTGTGTGAATTCACGTAGCCTGTCCTCTTGGGTACATTATGTCCTTTTCCTCCACTGGTCTCCACAAATCCATCCATGAGTTAGCTTACTAAACCTTTCTTCTGGGCTGCTGGCTGCACAAGGAATCACTTTGGCCAAAGCAGTACACATATGCTGAAGTTCTGGTTTTATTTTTTTTTCATTTTAAGGCTTGCAGTGGACAAAACTTTTCCAAACCTCACCACTGGATGCCACCCCTTAGCTCTGCTCAAAACTGTAAGGAGGTTGTGGGGGGTGTTTTTGCCTAGTTGTTTTCAAAACTGGAAATTTCATTACCATCAAGTACATTATCAGCTACTTGAAAGGCCCCTTAAATACTTAAAGGCTGCATACAAAGGTAAGGGGTATCATAGTCTGTTTAGATTCTCTAATTAAAGTTCTCATTCACTACTGACACCAAGGTAAAACTTTACTCAGTACAAACATGATGAACACAACTGAAGGCGGGTTATTAAAAAAATATCACCCTGGAGAAAGTTAAAATGAAGAAATCCATATCTGATCTTTCATCAATCAAATGCAGAGAAGAGCCATTTCATTATCTTATTATGTTAAAGAACAGAAAGAGTACAAACCCATAAAATGATGACAGGAATTCAAAACCACCACTCAGGTTATCATGAAGTGCTGGTGTTCCATCACCTTTTTTATCTTCCCAATCATCAGCCTAACTTGTATTTACAGTGATGCACAGAGTTTAAATTCTTCATCTTGCACTCTCTCAGCACCTACTGTGACACTGGTAACCAACGAAGGGCTTGCACCAAATGAAACCCCATTTTGATCAGTCCAAGTGCAGAAAATTATTTCCACATTCTGTTTTGAGTCATAATCATAGAACTGCAAAATCACAGAACAGTCCAGGTTGGAAGGGAACTCCAAAGATCATCTGGTCCAATGTTCCGTGGGGAAGGGAGCCCAAATGAAATGATCCATCACTCTGTCCAGCCACATTTTGAAAATCTCCAGGCAGAATACACCTGAATCCTTCAGTCTTCCTGCACGGGGCAGGTTCTCCAGTACCGTGGTCATCTTTGCGAACCTCCTCTGGACATCCTCCAATCTGTCCTTGTCTTCACTGAATTGTGGGAATCAGAACAGGAGCGCAGTATGCCAAGTGCTGAACAGAGTGAGGCAACCACTTCTGGCATAAAACGTAAGTTAACCAATGGATTATGCATTTCCAATTCTACTTAAGCTTTTCCTTCCGCTCCAATACTTACTAGTTTTTTTCCAACTCTGTTGGAAAACACAGCTCCAGTAATCCAAACAACATGCAAAGTCAGGTGGTAACACTGTTAATAGCAGGAGCGGATAGAGAAAACTTATCCATAAAATATGGTAGGCAAAATTGAAGAATTTTCTTCTATATAAAGGTGTCTCAAAGCTGGGGCACATTTCCTTTGGGCTCCAGCTCACTGACAGATCAGAAATTCTACAAAACTGTATCTGGCCCAGTGTCTAGTTTCCAACAGCAGTTTTCAATAAGTGTGTGCAACCTGAGTATTAGAAACTGGTCGTGTAGAGAACTGTCCTTCCCGTGCAGGTACACTTCAGCAGGTTTATTATTTTATGTGACTTCTACTGTGCATATTCTGCAATGACCTAGTACACGCTGGACAAGGAACTAAAATCTGGGAAATCCATCAACAGCCAGACAGAGTAAGTCCATTATCTTATTACCACGAAAACTGACAAAGAACTTAAAAAACACGAGAAGAAAAGTTACCCAGACGCTTCCTTTTATTAGGACACTGAAACAATTTAATGTACAAGTGCTTTGTGTTAGCTGTAAATATTTCCTCTGCTTAAGTGGCATTTACAGCTCGTGGACATTTCTTTAGCCATCCTAAGATGCAAGACACTTTGGTGGTAGCAACTTCATAGACCAGTGAATGCCAACACTCCACAACCCTGTTTAAAATTTTTAATAAAGTCCAGATGGAATGACAGAAGGGAGACAGTAGGCCATTCTGTGCATTGACTGGGATCGTATTTCAAAAGTGAAAACCAGAATAAAATCAAAGTTATTCAGCCATACGCCTCTTTCTTAACACTCTCCTTATGCATTTCACCTTCTGTCCAAAAACAATGATTACTACAACAAACAGAAAAGGCATCTGTGTTTTTTTCCTATATAAATCATGACCCTACACAATTAGCAATTACTTTAAATATTCAAGGAAAAAAGGTATCTTAAAAATAACTATATACACATATATAAAAAAATTATATATATAATGAGAATATATACATATATGTGTCCCATAGACATCTTTCTTCTGGCTAAAACACCTTCAAAGTGTAAATTCTTTCCAATCTATCCCAGTCTCCACATACTGCAAAAAATTACTTTTATCAGGAAAATTTCAGTAAATGGCCAACTTTCTACAGAGAAAATGCATTCCTTCTCAGCTATCAGATATTAATTGTCAATAAAAAAAAAATTAACAACACTTATTTTTGATAACTATTTATAATACTGGATTTATTACCCGCTGAAACTCTGCTCCAAATACTTGGCAAAGCAAAATACATAAATTAATTGAAATAAAATGTGGTGTGCTGGTATTTATTTTCAATAGGTACTTTGAAGCTTGGGATACGGCCCTTGTGTTTGATTCATCTCTCAGTATCCCGTGGAAGAGCTTTCCACTTGACCCCAGTCTCATGCCTACATCTGAAAAAATGGATGGAAAAAAAATCCCACTTCATCCAAACGTAACTACAAAGCAACTACCAAAGGCTTGTTCATGTATTTATCAGCCTAGAGCACTGAGAAGTTAAGCACCTTAACAGCCTTCTGATTTTTCAATGTCAGAAGTTTAACCAGAATCACCTGCTGTCTCCCTAACCCCCACCAACTTTCCTCCCCAGGGCCATCCTTTCCTTCATCTGCTTGCCATGTCAGAGACATTCATCAGGAAAGTCAAAACGACGAGGGCCAGACATGCTTCAACTGTGCAGGGACACCCCTCTCCACCAGGAACATCTAATAAGTGTCTTAATTTCTCACACAGACCATGCATATAACCTGTCAGTTAAACACGTGTTATAACAGTACTTTAGGTGCTGTCAACCACGAGGTGTTCGCTTCAGTGTGGATCTAAACGTTTCTTTTCCATACCCTGGTAAACAACAAAAAATGATCGAAGGCAGTTTTATCGATGTTTTAATGGTGGGGTATGTGCTTGTCAAATGAATCAGATCATGGCATCTCTCAGCAACATTTTTCAACTTTTATTTCATCAGAACCACTTAGTTACAGCTTTGAAACCGACAGAAATTTCACTCTGCTTCCTGCTACTTTAGTTGTCATCACTTCATTTTAAAGCAAAAAAAAAGACCAAGAAAAAAAATAATAACACAAATCCATGTATCTAAAAATTAATTCTAGTTCTCTAAGTGCAACAAAATAGTCCACCCCATTTACAGACAATGCAAAATAGAATGTGAGAAGTGAATATATAGATTCTGCAACCTAGGATTTCAGTGCTAATGGTGATTTGCTTACCTCCCCAGGTTTACCTTAATGCCAAAACCATTTGTTATGCTGCACTGGAATCAAACTACCTCACTTGTTCCAAGCTTATACATCAAAGACTCGAGTTTACTCGAATATGAAGGTTTCATCTATCAGATCAAAAATGGTTCACAAGCTCAAAGCATAGTGATAACTTTGAATTTCCATTTCTCTCAGTCTCTGAGGGTCTTGAGGTTGACTCAGTTCCAGTCTGTAAAATGGGAATCAGCTTCATTCCACCCAATTTTTTCTCTTTTGAATTGTTGGCTTCTCACAGGCTTTTACTCACAGTAACAGAGAAGAACATAAATGTCAGTGAAATATCCCCTTTCGCATTGAGATGAAGGCTTTTCTACATGCACAGATAATGATTCGACTATTTCAAAATAGTCAAGCAACAACCACAGAAGTGCCCCAACACAACTTTAGCTGTTGTATCCGAATGTACACAGCTCAAAGTTTTGAAAGCCAGCGCAGAAACAGTCACTGTGAACTGAGGGAGGCAACGTAGACCATGCTTATCTGATATACAATATTCAACAGCATATGGTTGATCATGCTACAAAATCTAATTATTCAAGTAAAAATCTGAATCAAACATGATTAGCTTTTTATTCAACAACGACGTTTCTCAAAAAACAGTCCTGCAGTTCTTGTAGCAGCAACCAAAAAGGCACGTAAGTACAAAACAACTCAAGACAGATTAGGCAGAATACAAAATTTTTAGACAGGCGTTCTCAAAGCAAAATCCTGAAGTACAAAGCTTTTTTTTGTTTCATAAAAAGGTACATCCTTCCTTACCAGTTTCCTTACTGATGTCATGTGCCTGCATATGTAATGTCCACCTGTACTTACTGAAAATCCTGACAGCACAGCCTCCAAATACTACTGTCAAATTACTTGGGAATTTTATGTGCATGGATTCAGTTGTGTTTCAGTAGCATTTGCACCATCTAAACTTGTAGTAGCTGTGAGTCTTCCCTTCTAAAGAATAGCTGTTTAGACGTAAAACTTAGCACACATCAAAGCAGTTTGACAAGCTAGTATTTAGCTGCTGTTTCAAAATCTTGGTTCATTTTTCATGTTGCCTATGACCCCTCTTCGAGACTGGTGCACAGATCCCCTAACTGGAACATGCTACGTTGAAGTTATACCACTTTCACAATTCAGAGGTTTGAGTTTAGATATTTTAAAGTTAATAATATGAAAAACTTAACCCGTAGTATCAAACACGCATACAATTACATATGGAATGCAGGAAGAAAATAGTATTTAATATGAATTTACTGTTTAGATAATGGAATTCTCTGGGAACGCATTCTTAAAAACTGGCTTCCAGAAAGTGGTTAAAGAAAGATATATAAACAAAAAATAATTAAAGTTCCGCCCTCCTTAACTCGATATTGAGTTATTGTTGTAATTCAATAATAAATGATATAATATAGCACAAAATTATATCCTCATGTGTTATTTTCTTCCTTTTGGCAGTGTTAGGAACAGTCTATTTTCATTTGGGAGGCGGGAAGGGATAATTCCTTGAAACTCATCTGAAGTTCCTACATTCTGAGAAAATGCACAGCGAACAACACATTTTACATTGTTCTGGGGGAAACAAAATGTTCACACACATTTTTGAGAATGTTTAAGGGTTTGAAGAAACTGATTTAAACCTTTTTAGATTACACCTACAAAAGAGTCATAAATGCAACAATGATATCCCCTTTTAAGAAATGACAGTAAACTGTAGAGTTTGAATTGGAAGAACACTGTGTCATTCACCAATTCCAAAATTCAGCGTTTTTCCCCTCATCTCATTTGTGCCACTCTGGAACAATTCTGTTAGTCGGGTTTCAGTGCCATCAGTAGAAGAATCTGGAAGTTGCTATGCAGTGTGAAACACTTATCCCAGTAATCTGGGGAAAGACGAATCCAAAGCAGCAGTCTAATTCAACACAGACTGTGCTGCTTCCTTAAGAAGTGATGCAGCTTTGTCCAGTTCTTGCTCCGTTTGTTCCACTGTTATCACTACCCGAATACTAGAAAAGGAAAAGCAGAACATACACAGTAAACTTCACTCTTAGCCCTCAGCTTTAGAATTGCCTTGTACTAATTTCAAGACATTAAGATCACCATCTCTAGGGAAATTATTATGAATTCAAATTCAACCAGAAACAAGACATATGGCTAAACAGAAGTGGTCAGACTACCTTTTTGTCCACCTCCCCTGGGCCCCACCGCACACCCCACAGAAATCTGTTATCTTTTTTGCCTGCAGACCTGCAGCTCATGGAAGCGTGCTACATGCTGACCACTGAGATTCAGGTAGTTGAATACAGTTACTTCATGGTATTAGCAGCCTGTAACAGTCACTGAAAATACACCTCAAAACAGAGCCTTTCCCATTTTTCAGAGGAACAACTATTCAAAGCAGTCTGCCAAACAAAGCCCCATCATTGTAGGGAAAGAGACAGAGTTATAGCGAATAAAACGAAGCAGCACATTGACTTTCACTGACCTGGGTGGAGGAAGACATTTTTCTTCCTTCTCCAGATAGCAAGCCTGCGTTAATGCAACCCCACCGTTCATGCACTACAGATAAAGAAAATACAGCAGTTGTCAACCTGAGAAGTTCTGATGGCGTATCGTTTTGGTCACCAAATACCTACCACTAACTTTTACTAATCTGGTGTCAGGATCACTGGAACTTCTTTCCCAAACCGAGGTTTGGAAGGTTCTGCAAAACCATCTCTAATTTCAGTACTGCATTAGCACATAAAACAGGTAAGGGTGTAGTGTCTTTAGTTTTCATCTTCAAGTAACCAGGCAAATGTGCCGTATTAAGCAGGCAATTAAATCATATTTAAGCATATTTTCAAGGAAATCAACTTCAGGATTTTCTTTCATTGTGCAGTCTTGTTTACCTGCCACCTGATTTAATATAAAACTTCCCCACCAACCTTTATCTCCTTCATGTGGGAGGAAGAGAACCAGTGTGTATTGAAAAGGGGAAAAATACCACATACAGAACATGAGATTCTTCACAGAAAAAAAGAAACAAGTTCATGGACTCAAAGAAGCAAAGTTTGACCTCAAATGGTTAAAAATACACCACCCAAAGTCTGTTTTTATAAACATAATAGAAGCTGTCTAAGAAGCAGTAACACAGCCCTGTAATCAGCAAAGAAACCTAAAGTCTTGCAGCATTTCTGCAAGATATTTCAACAAGTTACCCAACAAGCCTCTCTACCCCTCATTCATTATTGACATTCAAAGGCAATGATGTATGTTAATTGCCACGGGGACACTTACATAATCCACAACTCTTTTGAGTAACTTCACATCGTTTTCTCGAGATCCACAGCTCTCCTCCAGCTGTAAGTGCAACGCTGGAGAAAAAGATTCTCCCACCACTTTTAAGCCAGAAATCCTGAAACAAATAAGATACCTTTGATGCACACCCTACTCAAAGACATGTGCTGAAGTTCTAGATAGTGTTTTCCTTTACTAGGTGGTGAGTGAGAAAAGGTGGATATTTCACTTTACTAATACTAACACAGACAAAACAAACGTGCATTTTAGCTTGCGGTACATAAAGACAACAAAACTTATCAAGGCAATGTCTTTCCAAAGGAGTTTCAGTAAATTTGTGTAACAACACTGACTCCTTCTTTTTCAAAACAGATTAATAATTCAGAAATTCTTCAAGTATCCTTATGAAGGTGTAGGAGAAATGCTCCTGTTAGGTTTGTATGTTGCTGATAAAAACCCAGCTAGCTGGGTCAAGTCTCTGGAGCCTACGCTAAGAAAATAAATAATAATAAATAATAAATCTTTTTATCCACTTAAGAAGGGATAAGAAGGAACAAGAATTATTTTTTTTGGTAAGATTTCTGATTTAAAATTATTTCCTGTAGAAAATCTTTACAATATCATCTGTCACTTGATTTCTGGACTTTGACGAGCTTGCGTAACACATATTTTAGGAAGATCAGGCTTATTTGACGGCAGGATCATTCCAAAAGAAACTAATATAATCATTCATGCATTTGAGATTTTGTATGATTGTTTTTATAAGCTAAATTGAGTTCTGTAATATGTAACAGAAAATTGTTATATAAAAGATTTGTAAAATACAAGTGCACAATTCCTGCACATTAAACAGGTCTTGAATAGTCACAGTAATTGCTGATATTTTTTTTTTAGTATCAATACTTGCCAGGAAAAAAAGACGCAATTAGTCAGTGTAGTCATCTTTTAAAACAGCATAGTGTTAGGAAATTTTACACCTTATATTTCAGATAAATTCTGGCAATTTCTGATATGCTTCCAGAACAATGGGAACTTCGATTACTATTTAACATTCAACTTTCATATGTAAGAACAATGTCAGATTAAAGGTGACTGAAAAGTGCACTGAGATGTCTGAAGGAGTATCTGCTAAGCTTCATTCCCTGCTTTTCCCTGGACAATTTTCAAAATGTTTATTGACACTTTGCATCATTGACAGCTTTCACACTCTCCTAAGGATTTACATGTGTAAGAGCTTGCAAACTTCCTCACTACATTAAGGTATAATCTCATTTCAAAACCTGTAAAGGCTTTTAAAAACTTGGACTCTTTCTGAGTAGCATAACTGAAACAGTTGGGAAAATATGATTTTCTTCCCTAATACATACATAATTTTGAGTATATATCCCACTCTAAGCATCTGTAAAACCCAAAACAGATTTGTGTAAGAAGAGTTCTTTAAAGTTGGCATTATAAAGGCATAGCCAAATAAGAGCCAAAAAAGCCCCAAACCCCACACTTACCCCTGTAAAGCTTTGTGAATGTGTTCGCATTTAGTCCGGAGAGTCTGAAAAATGTCTACACATAAAAAAAAAAAAAAAAAAATTAAAAAAAAAGGAAGAGAAAGGAAAGGCTTAGATATCCTGTTTCTACTTCATGTTTCTCTTAGTCCAAGATTTCAAAAATAGCATTTGGAATAAAACTACGTTATGCATACCTACTGAACAACTAAGTCTCTTCACTACTCTTCTTAACATTCTCAATTCCCCCTTCTGCCAGGAAATAAGAAGCTTTTAAGACCTGACAGATGCACTGCTTCCCTTTACCTCATTACTCCAGCTGCAGTGGTTCCTGGTCATAATACAAACACTCGGCAATGGAATTCAAACAGCAGGTCCAGGATACAAGTATCTGTAAAACATCCATTGCCACGCAGACTCTGCTCATGGATCCTTCACCCTTTCCCCAGTTTACTCTTATTCTTAAATTAATTCTTAAACATTCTTAAAGAGGAAACCGGTTCCTGGATCTGCAGAGCTTGGCTCTTTCCCTTGGTGAAGGCTGACCCTCCACTACATCTAACAGTCCTGTAACTTACTTTAATTTTTTCTTGATTTCGCTTCAGAGGACTGGGCACGGGCTAACCCAATAACTTTGATTTATTTGTGACAAATTAAATACTTCACCTCTGCAGCTGTCCTCCAACCTGCTGGTGCAAATGAAGGTTAAAAACGAATACACACAATTTGGACAATTTTGTCCTCATATGCCTCTCAGCCCTACAAAAAAAGAAAAAGTCTTTCCGTGGTGGTCTAGCAGTGGTCTCTGATCCTGGTTAGGATTCAGAGCTCTCACTGGAACTAGATGATCTCTACGGGTTACTTGGAAATGATAAAAAAAAACAATTGTGCAGTGCAAGTGGAAAGGAAAGGGTTGATCAGTCCTGAGGAAACATATTTCCATTTGTTTCTATCTAACCTTCTCTTCCTCCATTTGTCTTAAAGGAATCTGTTTTCAGGGGAAAGAGCATAACTAAAAGCAGAAAAAAAGTTTCTTATTTGCTTTGCAAAAAACATCTCTGTCCTCCAGCCTCAGCTAACTCGCTCATTTTCAGCTCTGAGAAAGGAAGGGGAGGAAACACTGAAGAGAAAAGCAGGGTGGGAAATAACATGAAGAAAAAAAAATGCATGTAAAATAATCAGCTGAAAAACAGAGAGGCCTTCAGAGAAGAAAGGTAAGAAATCAAAGTAGGGAGAAGTGTGAGTTATTAGCTCTGGGTGAAGAAAGACTGAGGTAAAACATCTTCCTGAACTAAGTACCTGGATTATCTTCCATGATATTCAGAGCCTCAATAGCAGCAGCAGCTAACAAAGGAGGTAGGGATGCAGAAAAGCAGTAGCCTTGACCAGACAATCTCTGTGGGGGAGAAAAACAAAAAAAATCAAATCTTTGTATAGCAGTACATACAATGTTTTAAAAGTTCATTCATATACATATAAACAAACTCTTCCCTCCATACCCAGTGGTACATGGAAGGATTTAAAAGTAGGTCTCCATCTACAGTATTTCACATAACCAGTTTCTGCATGGAATCAAACACTGCCCAATCATCTATTCATAATACTGTTTGCAAATTGATATTAGTAACTAAATCTCATTTCTAAGCAACTAATTGTGCCCCACCATTTAAAATGAGACCTGGCTTACCTGATGGTCAATAATAAAAGATCTTCCACAGCAGAATCCTCCAATAGAAGCCAGTGAATTTTCCATGTTTGCACTAATAAGATCTATATCATCAATCTGTCAGTTAAATCAACAAGTTATTTAGAGATACTTTTGATTACATGAAGACTACTTATAAGTTAAATCTATTAAGGTTATATCTTGTTTCATATCATCATGAATACGAGAGAAGATTCACCAAACTATCACATAAGAAAAATGAAGCTACAACTGAAATAATGATTTTAAACAACACAGAAAGGACTTTAGAAACTGAGATTTCTGGATCTGTAAATAATTTCCATAGGCTCTCTCCTTCCCAGGCATTGCAATGTGAAGGACACAAACAGATTAAATTATTTAGATACTGGTGACAATTCCACAAAGCATTCAGTGTGACAGTGTCCTTTAAAAGCATAAGTAGTGCCACTGTAAGTAGGAGATAGAACGTGATACTGAAAACAGAGTTTGAACCTCAGAGGCACAACTGTCTTTTTTCACTTCAGGGATGCAAATATTTATTTTTTTATTTTTTTGGCCAGGCTCTGAAACACTGTGTCTATAAATGAAGTTAACAAAAAAAGTCAATGAATCGGAAATTAATTTAACAGAGAGGTCAATTAATCAGATGGTAGTTGGCAAGCATCACAGTAATACTGTCTGTTTCCTTTTCTAAATTAATTTTTTCTTTTCTGTATTTGGTAGCGAGACACTTTAAGTGAAAACAACAGGACATGGAGGGTACACTCCTAAACACTGTTAATGCCACAGGTATTAGAAAAACAATTGCATCATTTGCTCCTGTGCAAACCTCTCGCTCACAACAAAAACGGCACATACATTTATCCCAAAGTGTTCAGTAATTCCTCTTCCATGTTCTCCAAGGACTCCAAAGGAAAGGCTCTCCTCCAAAAATATTCTAACTTTGTATTTATACTTCAACTTTATCTAAAACAAAGAGAGTTGTATAAAACGTGAGTCAAGTCCATCAGAATCTGGTAGTAAAATGCATGGTTGAGGTAAGGTAAAGAAAGAAAAGGACAGTATTCTGAATACTGCACAAATGTCAGTTCTAGAGTGGTGTTCTGTCATTAGTACATCTTAAAAGCCTTCAAAATTATTCCACCATGTAATACTACAGCAAATTTTATAAACGTTCACATATAAAGAAACTGTAATTTTTTTTTTTTTATAGATTATCAGGTACTTTCAAGATGATACATTTTCATAGCATTTCTCCACTACTAGAATAAAGCCTGCACAAAAAAGCCGTTCTATGCTAAATAGCAAATGTTTTCCTTGGAGTCACTGTTTCTGACAGTTGTGTGAAGGTTTCTTTGAAACTTTTTTTTTTAAATAACCTAGTTTTGTGATTCAGTATCACACAGCGTAGCTGAAAATACATTATATTTTACAGGTTAAAAACTAAGACCATAACCAGATATTAATTTCTAGGACTCAGTAGCTTCAGATCCTAATCAGAAGTTTCAAAACAAGGCAAGATTTGAGATCACCACTTCATGAATATAAGAGAAAGCAGGAAGGTAAACAAAAAAACTGCATGCAGAGCTTTTCTATGTAGGCTTAATTACACAATACCATTATTTCATTACCATTTCATATGTAGTTCAAAAGGGAAATTAAAACCACTTACCAACTCTGGAAGAGGGCAAATGTCTCCTGTGTTCATATACAGTCCTTCAACTACAATAAACCTTCGAGTTACACGGGCCTTGCGAGGATTCTTCAGAGAAAGATACGGTTTCAGTTCACATCCATTAGTACTAACAAGCAAAATTCTAAAGTTTTTGATAGGGAAGATTTTTTTGAAGGGAATGGTCTCTTTTTCAAATAAGCTCTTACTTTAGTTTAAACTAAATTTAATTTTTCATCTCCAACAATAGTTGAAATGCCTCATTGGACTACTTTTTATTTACTTTGTAATAATTTTAAAGCTTTTGACTCATACACAAGATTCAAGATGCCTTGTTTTGCAAGAAATCATAACCAATCCATCTGAAGTTTATGCATAAAATACAAACAATGCACCTGGAGAACAAACACCAAGAATTTTGCTCTCTTATACTGAGCATCAGCCTAAGCCTTCAGAAGACTTTTCAACAAGTGGTTTGAGCATGAGGATTCACCACGCAGCACAAACTTCTTAAAAATAGTGACTTCATAAAACACAATGCAGAAGTGTTTATAACACTCGAGTTACAAAGTCCTTGTCTGATCTGTGGACAATGCACGCTGCTTAAACTTCAGTGGTATAATTTGAGCTCTGCAGTTTTAAAATGCCATTTTCTCTGTTATTTACTTCAAACCTTACTGACATTTTCTGATCAAGGATATCAAGTCATGCTTCTTGCAGTTTTCAGTTCTTGCAAAAGGTTTCTTGTAGAAAGGCTCAGCAAACATCTATTTGACTTTTCTGAGTGACAGGCACCAAACCAGTCGCAGCCCACTCCACAGGCTGTACCAACTCCAGTGGTATGATCCTTCCTACTCAGAACGTCTTAATTATGCACACATGGTCCACATTAAGCTCTTGCCCACCAGCTTTATGTTCACATTCAGCTAATTGCATTAAGGAACTTTACCCGTGTAGCTAATTCAAAGCACTCTGCTCCAACAAACCAAACGTGTTACACAAATTAGTCTGACAACCACATCTAAAAACTCATGTAAAGATTATCTGGCAGAACGTATTTTCCATGAAGGTACGCTAACTCGTATGTTATCTATAAATTTGCTATTAATCAGATCCATTACTGATTTACACAGATGTTAAGCTGATTGACAGTTTATCTGCTTTACTTTTTCTGTGTGTTACCCCAGAACCAGCTTTCTTCCAATTACCTGTAACTTGCCAGCATTCCATGAACAAACCACGTAATCATGACAGCTACTCAGTTAATTCTTTAAAAACTCGTTTAACCAAGTTATCTCTACTTGCTGATCCTGATCTCAGTCACAGTTTTTGCAAACCCTTTAGCGTTACTGTCAGAATGAGAAGCAAGCCACGAAACTGACTCAAATTTTTCAAGAGAGAGAACATCTCACAAGTTGAAGGCAGGACGGGGGAAATCAACAACAACAACAAAAATCAACTATGTTGATTCTATAAATTAAAGGGTAAGGACTAGCCATTTTTGAGTTGATTTTATAATGTGGTATTTGAAGTGATAATTAACTTGCATAATTAATAAGGTAAATGCAGTTACACAAATTTCTCAGAGACCCAAAATCTCTGTAATAGTATTAAAAAAAAAAAAAAAAAAACAAAAAACCCAACAATATCTCACTTCAGTCATCTGTCCCCTGCTACTAATTCCTGTGAGCTCAATTCTAGTTGTTAGGCAGGCAAATACAAATTAATATACATGTGTTTTAAAATTATCCTAATTACACAAGCAACACTAACTGTTCAATAGAGATTTAGGAAAACTGAGTAACTGCCTAAAAACACTGCATCCATTCAATTACACAACCCAGTTAAAAAAATAAAAAAAACAACGGTGGGGGGGTGGGGAGGAGGTGGCACAAAAGAGTACAAATATTTCTTCAAAGGAATAGTACCTTTTGATCTTCAGTCTCTTGTTCTTTCAGCAGTCGTTCAAGGTCAGCCATATCATTATGCTTAAATAACTTGATGTTACTACGAGATGCTTGTAATCCCTTCTGAATAGCAAAGCAGGCAGCTTCATCTCTGTAAACACAGCAAACCCTTCTAAATTTGCACTCGGTTTAACAAGTATTCCAAGAAAGCTGCCCTGCTTTTGAGCAGATATTTGTAGATAAAGCCGATTTTTTTTTTTTTTTTAAAGCGCCGCATATTTTATTTACATTTTGAAAACTGAGTTCCAAAATTTCCCTATGCACTATTGCCACTAAAAGCAAGCTAAGAGGTTTTTTTCTTGATGTGTACACCGGTCCTTTTGTTTGCATCTGACAGCAGTTTCAGAACAACATTTCATGGACCAGCAATAATACCATGGTAATCACTCCAGAAACTTCTGACTCTGTTTGCTCTGGGTCTTCAAAAAAGAAGCTCAAAGGTGTGCCTTTTACATTTATAGTAGTATTCAAAACCTCATTTTTAACATCCTTTGGGAATAATATCTCCGTGTTCAGAGAAAAATCTGCCATTTTTAGGTGCTGGAACAGCAAACTTCCAAGTATGATGGGATGTGCAGTTTCGCAGTATGAGATAACTAAATCCAGGGTACACTGGCACCCGTGAGCAGTGCCACAATCCTGGTCATTTGTCTCAGAAAGCGCTGATCAAATACATAACCAATATATGACCAATAACCAAACACGGCCAAAAAGCATGATTCAATTTAGGAAGGGGCTTCTGCAAGCTTCACATTTGGAAAAGTGAGCACCAAAGAAACATTTCTGGCTGACAAATACAAAAGTGTCAATGTGTTGTGGCTTAACCACAACTCACTACTCCCATGGAGAAAATGTATCAGTTCCCTGCCTAAAAATCGAATGCATCAATTGAAATTAGTATGTATTATATTCAAAATAGGTATTTCTTAATAGTTTTCACGAAATGTTCAAGCTAAACTGTGAAACTGCATGTCTCAGAAACTTAGTGGATGTTAAAGATCTAAGTACTAAAAGCGTCAGAAAGCTTAAGGAGAATCCATCAAATCTTAACTAAATCTAAAGCCCTTTTCTTTCGCCCAGAAAGATGAATATTGTTACATTTTTTCCTCCTGGTTTTTTACTCTTCCCTAGACAAATCATCACCAGCTGCTCCCAGGGACCAGATAGATAGTCTTTGACTGAATCCTTCTTTGTCTTCAGTCAAGATAGTCCTTGACTGAATCCTTCATTTGACCCTGTATGGCTCTTTTTGTGTTATTTTAACATGTACCAACAGTTATCCAACCAAATCCATTGCAAACAGGCATGAGGGGAACAACTGCCCTGGAAAAAAAGGTGGAAAGCCAGCAGTAAACAGGACAGAAGCACTATAACTGTACAGCTTATTAAAAAGAAAATTAGGTATTAGAATTATGTTAGTTCTTGAATGCAAAAGTTATCCTGCTTTTTCTTCAGCTGAGTGCCCAGGTCTGCACATTCACGATCAAAGCAGCAACTGATTTCAAACATTTGTCAAAGAAAATACATTTGAGCTTGATATACTTGACCAAAACCAGCAATATTTTTAAATGTTCAACTTAATATCATTAGCATTCATGAAAAATTGAAAGGAAAACCTTCTAATCTGGAATTTCCCAAGTAGAAAACAACACTTACACGAACACAATGTCCCCTCTCTTTGAATATGCAGGAATAGCACTGGCAATTGTTGCAAATCCATATGAATATATAATAGCTTCCTCAGTCCTCATGAATTTTGCTAGCCGTTCTTCTAATTCTAAGTGCACATCTATTCAGGAGAAAAATTGGAAAGATCTCACATAGCTGACTTGTTTTTACATCAGGAAGACTACCATTGCTTTTATCAATCATCTAATTGAAGCAAACACAACTTTTATTTGTAGGAGGAGTATTAAGACAAGTAACTTCCCAAAACCCAGTTGCAACCAATCCATCCTTAGTAACCAGATATTAATCACAAGCTTTGACAGGTCTGAAAATATTTATGCAACATATTTCTCTAATGTTCTTATGCAATGGTAATTAAAATCTATGTGTGATTAGACCACAAGTAAATGATGTAGCATTCCTGGACTCTGACTAGAGAGCACAGTTACTACAGTCAGACAAAAAATTATACAATTTATAGCAATTAACGAGGTCCTGTTGGCAGACTCTTGGTTCCTCCAAGCTGATGCTTCCACAACACAAGCACATCTATCGCTGTAACAGAAAACTGCTCTTGTCAGACTGCAAATCACAAACCACCTCCTGAACACACTTCAGTCACTTGAAAATGTCACACCTCCAAGATTGAGATTACTTACCCTTAAGAGAAATTGACACAATTACACACACAAGCATTTCCCAAACCAGTTTGGTCAAAGTGCCCCTTGTGAGAAATCAAATATTAAAAAAAAAGGGTATATAAATGTGGTATATGAACACCACCTGGTGAGTGAATTGTTGCCGCAGAAAGGTGACCACAGCATTTAGTATTCTGCCTAAGCAAAATAACCTGTATCAGATAAACTGTTATTTTGACTGTCTAACTTTCTTGCCACTACCTGCTTCTGCCAGTAACAGTCAAGAGAATTATGCCTTTTATCAACTGGAAATAAAAAGATACTGTGTGACTTGGAACATCACCACTGGCCAAATGTTACCAGATGGATGGAAGGAAGGATATTGACTGGATTTCGTTCATATACTTTCTGACCGAGATTTGAAGTAGTCCTTTCTGTCAGTAGAGAATAATAAATTAGGGGGAAAAAGGACTAAACTACTACTTCTGAGTGGTCAGCTACTGATACCTAATGGGGAAAAATTTTTTGCTGGAGCATAAAAGAATACTCACATAATTTAAGTAAAAAACTGGGAAAGGTAAGAAGACCATCACAGTTCAAAATCAGAAATGGCATCCTTCTCACTGAGCTTTATTCAGCAACAAGCACTCCTAACTAAGCAATGCTAACCAAGGCAGAAACAGTGGGCAAAAGAAATATTGTCAGTAATAACATCTAACAAATATATTCAGATTTGTGTCACAGAAAAAAAAGGATTTTAAAGCCCAAGTAAATTCTGCCAAGGGCAAGAAGAGTCAATTTCCAAATGACACACACTTGATGCATCATTACATCACATGCTTTGTATAAATGTGAGGCTGGAAAGTGTTAAGGCACTACTAATTAAGATTTCACCGTGATAAAACCAGAATTCTACCTGACTCCCTTATTTTTTACTGCAATGTCTTGCTTTAGTCTGGTTACATCACTTGGATTAGCCTGGCTTGGCTGAAAACTGCAAGCACCACCTAAAGAACATCTGGACAGAGGAAGATAAGACTATAACAGCTTATGAATTATGAAACCTTCATACAGTTAATATAGTTAATAACTGCTATGAATTGCCAGTTTAGTGCCTAGCATGAGCTCACAGGTAAGTCAAAAGCAGAAGTGAGACCGAATCCTACATTACCTTTTACATATTTTATCCAACAGGTAGACCTAATTTTCTAAGTAGTACCAATCTTGTGGCTGATAGGCAACCTTAAAGGCTGCTTGGCAAGCCTTAAAAAAACACCGCCACCAAACCCCTCACCTGTCATTGTGGAGAAAACTCACACAAATGTTCATTTACGTGTGAATATACAAGTACTTCAAGCTCATCATAGGATGAAGTCATGGATACATTCTTCAGGGATACAACACAAAGTAAAAATGTCTCCATAGGAACTCACTAAATCTATTCTACATCTTCAAACTGTCATAGAAATGAAGAATCAAGTCTCCATTCAAAGTAAATTATACCCTGATATCTACGTTTTAAATAAGGAGATCTCTAATATTTTTAGGAAATATCAGCACCTAAGAGGGGAAAAACCTGAGCAATAACAACTGACAATTATCAATTATATTCTACATAGTTAAGTAAGAGGAAATTCTGTGTAGTTGTGTAAAGAACATGACTTATTTACCAAAGTCACAGCACACAAAAAATTGAGTGAAAAGTTTAAGGCATACAACATTAATGATGCAAGACGCAAGTGTTTCTTCTCAGAGATTCACAATCCTGCAATACTCAAATGTTTCACATCAGCTGAAAATGGAAAGACAGTTTGGGATTGAACAAGTACATCAGGAGTTTGTCTCCCAGCTAAAATTAAGTCTCCATTACTTTATCTGTGAAAGTTATATCAAATAGGTCACTATAACATCACTTCTCTAGTGATGTCATACAGATTACAGCCCCTGCTTTGTGAAATGAAGCACTTACCCAAAATTTCAGAAGCCAATGAATAGCAAAGGCTATACAGTTTGCATCTGAGGATTCGATTTCCAAAGAGGGCAGGAAACAAGCCAAAGAATCTCTCTTACCAGAGAAAGCCAACTTTTAATCAGTCTCTTTCAAACAATTACTAGAAAGAAACAAAGCAAAAGACTTCACAAAATTTAAAATCAGCTTGGACTCAGAAGGTGGGAGGCAGCAGCCCACAAGTTTTCTTGAGAATTTTTTCAGAATTTCAGTGGTTTGTTTTTTTCAGGGGCAGGGAGGGATGGAAAGCCTGTATGAATTCCAGCAGACCATTGCTGAACTGTCATCAGTGAGGGAATCTAGTTTCCTAAAAGTTCTCTCTCTACTAATCAATGGGTTAATTTGAGCATTCAGACACACCCTGAATTCCATTGCCTCTGGGAAGAGATTGGAAAGTTCACAAGATGAGTTGATAGTTTTTAGCCTGCAACTGCAGCTATTCATGTATTACTCTTTGGTTTACATGCGAAACACAAATGCCTGTAAAGAACCATTTCCAGAGCCTGATATTTTACAACTTCCTACTTCTTTAAAAGAATGAAAAAACACCCCACCTTAGTAACACCTGCCATGTCATAAAATCTCTCAATTGCAACACTGAAGTCATCAGAAATGAAAAACTTCAATTACAGCATTAGAAAAACGTAACCAGTAATCTTTATCACAGCAATCAGACTGCCCTCTTGTGGTCCACTTAGGAACTTTAATTTCCGCTTTCTCACTTATATTGACCATGCATTATTAATTCTAACAGGTTTATCTTTTTTCTTTCTACTATGGTGGCCAGAACCAAAACAGATCATACCATTTGTAATTCTCCCCCAGGACCAGCATTAGAAACAGTAGGAAAATGGATAAAATATTAAGAAACAAAGCTAGGAACAATGGATGCTACCAACCCTCAACAATTACAGTAAAATGTGTGTCAGAGGACAACTGTTCCTCAAAGCAGCAGAAATAACTTTTTGCTTGCATATAGGACTATTCTGGCAGATTTACCAAACTAGTCTGACCTTTAAAGGCAGATCAAAGAAAGTTACTCACCAAAAGTACCATAGAATCCTCTGGGTCCACAAGTGCCAACACCGTATTTCTTCAGAGATGCTTGGGCTGCACTCTTTAACAGGAAAGAATTGTATGAAATATTCCTGCACTAACTCTCTAACTCTTCTACACACTTCACACTGTCAGTTTTACACCACAGTACACAGACCAGTTTTTGTATCGTGTAACATGACCCCGCTCTACCTAAAGTATAATAATTTACTGATTTCTATGAATTAATTTCACATCTATGAATTAATTTCACATAAACACTTTAGACAAGTCTTTATGCACAATTTCTTTTATTCTGATACGTAAGGACATTAAATACTAATCTAACTTGATAATCAGGTAGTATGCAGCAGTACACGAAGACTAAACTTTATCAAAAAATATAAACTTAAACAGCACAAAGTTACAAGGCTTAAAATCTTCCTTGCTGCCTTACAAGTGTATGTTCTTGACAAAGTTCATGTTTCCTGAAGTAATTCTTAATGTCAAGGTAACATACAAAGTAAAAGTGGAATAATCAATTGGAAGAACTCACCTTAACCTTTTCATTATCCAAAAGTCCAAGAAAGTTAAATGATGCAAAGTTTATACATTCCTTCCCATTAACAGTGATTATGTGGGTGGGAGGACTGAAACAAAACATATTACAGACCTCTTGTTATGAACAAACAGTGGCCATTTTCATAAACAGTCAAACACCACAGAGTTTTGTTTTTCAGCAATAGAAGGCACATAGGCTTTTCAAGTCTCTCCTTCCACTTCTTCCCTTGCAGCTGCCGATCAAAATTTAAGTTCAGTGTCAAGACACAAATATCCTACTATACTCAGCAAAACCACTATTCCTGCAATTTAATAAAGAAATTGCTAATATGTTCCTGACTTATTTAATAATTCCTTGTTGAAAATGCAATTCATAGAAAGATGACTCCTGAGGAGATTGATAAAGCTTCTTCTTTAAAAGCACAGTCCTACCTATTTGCAAGAAGGAATACTACCAATAAAAAGGAAATTTAAAATAATTAAGAACATTAGTTTCTTCAACTAAGCAACGGCAAAAAGCTGACAGAACAGATCTGGAAAGCCTTCTACTAACACCGTGCATGTGCTGAGCATCTTCTGAATGCTGAACCTGTCCCCACAAAGGAGCTGTCCTGCGTTACTGCAGTGCATATTCTGCACGGAGCAGACCTATACCTATGCATTTTGGCACAAAGATGAGATTCAATGTATTCCCAACATACTATCAAAGCTGGCAAATTTACAACGATTTGCCTCCCAGCTCTACCTCTCAAGCCTAAAAAACACACTAATGATCACCAACAACTTAGAAAGCTGCAGCCCTCATGAAAACAGGGCCACACTTTGCTACCAGAATTTTACCCAAACTTCTAAAAGAACACCCATGATTAAGGCAGAAAACACTAATGGAAAAGCTTATTTCAGTGAATAATTAAAACCAAAACATGGATGCTGACAGCATTCTAAAACCTGCTGTGCAATGTCAGAAAAAATAAGTCTTTGCAAAACAAAAGATACCGAAACAATTTCTTTATCTTTTCATGTAACTCCCTTCTCCCACTATAACACAATTCATTAGTTATCATGGTTAGGGACAACAGTTATGAGATACTGAGTAAAAATATAATTTCAAGCTATATTCAAAGAACTTGCAACCAAATCCTTCAGAAACTGTCTTTTTAGGACTGAGAGCATGCCAGCTGTTCCTGGAACTCTCGCTTACTTGTCGCATGTATTGAAAAATCAGTCGCAGAAGACAATAAAGTTAAGAAGGCACTAAATGATGTGACTTAAATTTTAAGGCAGAACAAGAATCAGCATGAAAATTTTGCAGGTGTACTGTTTTAGGAAATAGATTTACATTTTCTGAATGAGATCTTGTACAACAAAGCTATCTTGCATAGGTTAGTTCACAGAAAGTTACTACAAGAAGTGACTAATTTCTGGACCGTGACTGACCTGTCATGGGTACCTTGCTCATCACCGATTCAAGACTTACCACTTTTTTTGTTTGGACAAGTCTCTGCACCTTTGGCTTTGCTCATCATTTGGCAACCTTCACTGGCATTATGAAAGTGCTCAGCAGCAAAGGAGCATTATTATCAGACGGCATAAACTGAGCTGCATACTGAGGGAGGAGGAAGTATGCCACCCCCACAAAAAACAGGTCAAAATTTTTGAAATATTTAGTTTTTCCAGAGTGGTTATGAGCTTTTATACACCCTATCCACATATTACTGTAACTACAAAATATCACTAAGATTAGTGAGGGTGGTGAGGCACTAGAATGGGCTGGCCACAGAAGCTGTGGATGTCCCATTCCTGGAGGGGATGAGCAACCTGGGATAGTGGAATGTGTCCGTGCCCAGGGCAAGGAGGTTCTATGGAGGGCAAGGATCTTTAAAGGTGCCTTCCAAAACAACCAGTTTATGATTATGATTTCTATAATTCACTATTCAAAATAGACATTAAGACATGAACATCACTGAAAGACTACCTCAACAGCAGGAATAGGGTGACCCTAAAACACTAGTTAAAAAGGGGAAATGCTCTTGAGCTGAAATCAGGATGCAGACGACTTTTCTTTCTGTATTAATTCTGAAACATGGGATACATTCATACTCAAAGTTACAGCCTCACTGCTGTTGAGCAACTTATGGAAAAGCAGTTAGTTGGTAGTGAAAACATTGTAAGACAAATGTCAAGTTTTCCCCACAGCCACTATTAAGTTCAACAGCCACAAGACATTAACATTCTGTCACAATGCATTTCCTAGCTGTTAGCACCGGAAAGTTCTACAGAATTTAAACATTTTCTGAATCATTCTAGAAGATACATTTGTTCAGGTTTTGTTTTTTTTAAACATCCAACACTTCCTTTAACTCCACAGTACCACTTGTTTCAAAATTTTGAACAGTAACAGAGGGATTGTTCACATCACAGTTGATTAAGACAGACAGCCCTTTTCTATGGCAGACTTCTCTGTGGTGGCAGAACCATCAAAATGGAGCTCACTATGACAGCAAATAATTGGGCTCTGTCACGAAATTATTTCAAATTATTGGTGTCTCTGGAAGGATATTATGAATGCTTATACAGTAAGAGTTACTGACACACAAATCTGAAGCTTGTAAGAGGAAATGTCAGAGTGATTTCTGAAATAATGTGACTCTTGCCTATGCTGGCACACATTTTAAAAGCCTTGAAACACACAAGAAAGTAATGCTGAGCCACAGATTCCTCACAAAACAGCTTTACAGTCCAGCGTCTTCAATTCTAATTGTCCAAAGAGTAGCAACTTTTCAAGAAGTGCCAAGTGGCTAGACACAAAATCAGTTTCTTCTGAAGTGATTTGTGATAAGATGAGAAGGTGGTAACCACTTCTGAAGGTCAAAGTCCACACACATATCCAGAAAAAATGAAACAAATTACCACCAAACAATACAGATCCACAACGGAGGCAAAGATACAATATTCCTCCCCCACACCCAATATTGGAAAAAAAAAATTAATGATAAAACTTAAATGTAAGAATTTCTTAGTAAGAGAGTCTCCATAACGTTGCAAAACCAAGACCATCTTTTCAGTGGCATGTTCTCTAAAAATGCAATTAATTTATGAAAGGTTCTAAGGATATGGAGATGCTTAGTAAGCAATACGCTTAAAAATATGGACATAAAGTATTTGAGGTGAAATAAAAATACAGAATATATTTTGGTTACATTTACCCTGAAACAATGTTGTAATTGAGAGCCGGGTGATCTTTTGGCACAGGAGGCACAAGAGGCTCTGGTTGCCATTCTTCAATCAACTCTTCTTTTTCCTGATCAGGAAAACAGAAATACTGTTGAAAAAGGGAATTCCACTAAAAAATACATTATGCACTAATAAACAGTCGATAACAATTGTATTAGAAATCACATATGTCACTTTCCTGAGGCACTGAGAATTCATATTACCTCAGGATGTTCAAATGAGGGGCTCTGAATTCTTGGAAGACAAGATGTAAAGAAACGGACCAGATGTGCCTGTGCATTAAAGATCTTACACGGTAACAAAGAGATGAGATATGAACTTGCTGTCCCTGCCAAACTTTAATCAACTCCTCTATAGTTTATGTAATTGAATACAAATTACATGAAAATTGAATATAAATTGCCTCACTTTACATTTTCAAATCCTCAACAGTGCTGTTTCAACAACAGTGGCGTTAAAATACTTAGCAAAGCTACAAATATGTGAGGAGGATACACTGGAGGAAAACTGACAAATGCTCAAGAGAAGACAACAACAGCTACTAAACCACATATCCCTCACCAAAGACTAGTTCCCCATAAATTAGTCACGATTCACGCAAGCACCAAAGCCATTGTTCATACCACGAAAGCAGAACTTTCACAGAGGATTATTTACTAGCACAGCAACCAGTACCTGACAACATACTGTAAACACACTAACTTTGAAGGGCATGGCTACAGTGGATTTGTATTACTCTGTTTCAAAAAGGCTGCTTGTTTAAAGCTGCTTATTTAAATATCAAACTGATATAAACTTATATAAAATATATCAAACTGATATATTTTATATAAAAATATAAACTGATTTTTAAAAACACAACAGCATTGGGGTTTTTTTACCTTTTTAATTTTTTTTTTCCCAAATATACTTTTCAAAGCTTTCGAAGTAAAGATATATCCATAGGAACCCATGCCCTGCACCCTGTCTGGTCATGGACTTATTTATGCTCCCAAAACGCCAAACTATAAGGAACTTACAGTATCAGAGAAGTACTCCACCTTTTTAGTTAATGCTTTGGGAGATCTCCTTATTTTGAAAGAGAACCAGAAGGAAGAATAACTAGAAACACTGTCATCAAAGGATGACAGCCAATCAATTGAAAGATGATTTCTGCACAGGATTTCATCTTGCTCTTGCTACATGTCTGACTGAACCCAGAAGACACCTTCATGATGGATTTCTTCACTGTTTTAGAAGCGTGACTCCTAAGTGCACTATGTTGCACAATACACCATTCTGGTTCCCCAGGATGGACTGGTCTAACACATCACATCAAGATGGCTGTGCAACAGTGGTATTCTTCGTTCATACTCATTACACAGGGCCAGCTCCACTCTGGCAGCATCCCCAGCAACAATTCACAGAAAAACTTCAAGTACCATTACATGAGTAGTTGGCATAAAGGCAGCACAAGCTCTGCCCCCTGGGCTGGCCTATCTCCTCCAGAGGCTCTCTGGTGTGGTGAAGTGTGGGCACCACAGCATGACTCAAATCAGAACAGGTCAGCAGACAAATGAGCCACCTTTTCCTTGGGAACTGGCTGGTACTGGTTCATCCATGGGAGGTGTTGAGCGATCGCCTTCACATCATTTATCTTGTTTCTCCCTTCTTTCACTTTTCCTTTGTTTATTAAATGATTTTACATTTACACGTAAGTTTTCTTGCTTTTATTCTTCCTTTCCCGTGTGAGCAGCTGTGCACTGCTCAGCTGCCAGATGGGGTTAACCCGTAACACAGGCTGGTGTCAATTATCTGTGGATTTTTAGTGAAGACTAAGGAGGAGGTGTATCTCTGCACGTTCTCCACAGCTATTCCCCTACACAAAATAAATGAGCTCTTTTCACAGAAATTATCTACGTGGTAGAAAAAGAAGTGGAATCACTCCATGCCTCTGATGTATCAGTTTGCTTAACTCCTCCAACTCTGAAGAAGACACATTCACACTCTCACTTGATTGTTGCTTTTATGCTCACTTTCAACAGACTATCTGTAGACAAGACATTCCCTTCCAAATACAGTTCTTCCTATGGAAAAAACTACTTCCATCTTCGGAAGTCAATGGTAAAGCCAGCTAGACTAACTTGCATCTCCTTCCTTGGTTAGCGAGCCTGAACAAACCACCACACCAAAGAGCATTCGCCCATGATATTGTTTTGCCATCCAGAAAAAGGTAACAAAAAGTTAGAGGTGTCTTTAACACCTCAGGCCAAGCCCTCTGATGCAACACAGCTCACAGCTCTCTGCAGCTTTTTAATTCTGTGCCTTCCAATGTGAATCAATGTGCCTAGTCTGTATACAATTCTATTTTCAACCACTTTGGATTTTCGCTAATATTCACATTCCTTTTCACCCTTCAACTTCAGTAAATTTTGTATAAATCTCATCAGAACAATCACAGCAATAATGTTTTTGCATGCTTCTGTTTTTTTAGAAAGCCTGTTAACTGCTGTCCTCTCAGTGAACTTTAATACTATCATGCTGCAAAAGTAGGGTTATTTAAGCATAAGCCATTTCCAAATGTTTTTCCCTCTCCTGATCCCCTTCCAAACCCTTGCTTCCACTGAGCTGCAGCAGACCAGTTACAGGTGCAATCTCCCAGCTGCTCATTGTCCCCAGTTAAGCTGACACCCACCACTTCTTCCCCACATACCACTATTAGAGATTCCTCTGAGCACTTTCTCAGACACCTCAATTTCAGAAAAACGGTCAGTCACGAAAGAATGTGACATAAAACTAGATGATAATATCCAAGGTACACACAGAGATACCTGAGTGAAATCCTTACTTTGTAAGGAAAATATAGTTTTCAGCTTTTTCAGGTCACCAATTATGCAAGTGCCGCAAGGAGCCTTTTCCCACCATCTACCGAAAGAATTTTCAAAAGCAAAAAAAAAAATTATCCCTCAAAATAGCAGAGATCAAAGCCATCTGATGGAGGGAAACTCTACTAAATAAACTAGACTAGTTTCTGGATGGACAATTAGAGGCTACTTTAAAGCTGCAGCATATCCTCCTAGATGATCCAAACACTTAGTGTTTCACCGCACATGAGCTCCCTTTGTGTTCATTCCTCCTCTGCATCCTTTTTTTGAGACAACTACATTGCAAAAGAAAAAAAATTGCTGCCACACTATACAGTTTTGTGAAACCCACTGTAAACTCTCAGGGTTATTACTCACAGAAGCCACATATACAGACTGATCATTTTCCTACTCTCTACGCTCTTACAGTTCATTTTGCAAAGCTTTCATTTTTAAAATGAAGCCATCCACTGAGCAGAGCTAATGCCAGCTTTTCAGAGGTTAGCAGTCCCTGACACATCAGCTCTTTCTTATTTCTCAGGCTTTCAAACACAGTGCTACTTTAAAAGCACGAACTGAAGCGTTTAAGCAATAAGCAGTTTCTGAGTCCAAAGAAAGCTCACCCTTTGAAACTCTAAAAAAGCAGCATCACTTGTAATGCAGCAGTGGCTCAACAGCCAAATATATCCATAGCTATAAACTGCTTCTCTAAAGAAAAATATTTTTCCACCATACCTTAAGTGTTAGATCAGATCGCTCTTGAAGTTTATATGTCTTCGAGAAAAGAAGTCTTATTATCCACAGAATTAGAATTCCTTCCAAAATGAGATGGTATGCAGGGGCCTGAAAACGAAAGCACAAGAACAAGTCTATACAGAATCCTACTTGAAGCAGTGTGACACAACTCAACAGTTCTGTCCCTACAAGTACAATCAGAAAACAACCCAAGGCTGATTGATCATCAGCTCACGTGTTTCTCAATCAGTAAAAATTGTACCTATATAAAAGTGGATTGCGTTGCAGCTGCTACTCAAAGCTGTTAATTTGAGCGTGAATGGATTCAGTCTGCTGTTCGTAAACAAAACACTGACTAAATGACAATGGGTTTCAGTTCCACATATACACATAATCTGAATACTGAGGGCAAAGAGAGTTAAGTCATACAGGTTGCACCAGTCAGTACCTGAGAAGGCAGAGTGCTTTCAAAACAAGCAGAAGTATCCCAAGAGCCTGAGGGTCTGTGTCATCTCTGCATAGTCACTTCAACTCTCCATTCTTTTAACCTACAGTCCACCAGCAGGCACAGCTACCATTACTGACCAAGAAAGCTAAGTCTAAACTTATAGCCAACTTCTCTCAGTTTCACAGGTACTACTAGATTTGTCCTGGTGCCATTTACTCTCCTGTGTAGACATTTACTCTCTTGTGTGGACATAATGTTTGGGAAATACATCAAGCAAACCAGAACACAGAGTTGATACCACACAAAGTTAGCCTCTTTGGCTGCTTGGAGGGAGGAAAGTCAGTTTCCTCTGACAGTGCTGCTAGTCTGAAGCAGATGTGGAGTTACAGCATCAGCACTGGATGTGTAGTGTCAATCACTCCATTTCAGAAAGGCTCCTGACTACTATTTTTAAAAGACACAAAGTGCACACAAACAAACACACTCCCACTCCAAGTCAGGGGAAGAGATCCCACACATCGACACCTTCTGGTGGGATCTGACCTGTCAACAAGAAAAGTGGAACATACCACCCATCCAGAAATTAAAGGAATTTTAAAACCACTAAGGAGTCCTATGGCATATCAAACTGAAAATAACAAATCTATCTCTTGTACAGTTCTTTTCAGTTTGCCAAACATTAGGAACACACAGGTAAACCATGACATCTAAGGAACACATACACAGAAGTCCCTGTGCTTTTCAGTGCCTACAATTATCCTAGAGCGTGCTACCTGCTTCATTAGCTAAGCACTTCTACCTTCGGACTGCAAATCCTTGCATAAATTCTCAAGAAGTTACCACCCTTAGCCAAAGGAAGGGATACAAGAACACCGCCTATCACCAGGACATCCTTTTTGATATCACTAAACAAAGTCTGGGTACAAACAAACACTGCTGATTCCCCCCAGGAAGGAACTCGAGCCTAAGCACTTAGACGCTGTTTCTTGTTTTGCAAGCATCACTTGAAAGTTACAAACCCCGACCTCGTACTCAGAGCAACACTGCGAACCTCAGTGCTTTAATGCTCTACTACATCCCTTAAATGTCGCTTTATAACCTCAGTCCAAACAACACACTATTTAGTCCAAACCGGAACAATTTAAATACCTTTTATTTTAGAAACACAAGCACTGTATTAAATAGAGCAATTTCAAAGCTGCGTTAACTTCTTCTTGTCCCACTTTTTGCTCACGCTGGACTGACTGACTGTTGTTTCCCTCAGAGCACTTGGATCAGTAACGCTGTGAGCAGACTTGCACCCAAAATCGCTCTGACGGAGTCAAAGCAGGCCGAGCCACAATGAAGTCAGCAGGATCACTTCAGCAAGAGAGTAATTCAGTGAAAATAAATAACGCGGTCTGCTGTCAAATGCTACCAGCTCGTCCCACGGAAACCGACCAGACTGGCCAGATTCAAATCTATATGCAGAGCGATGCATCATAAAATGAAGTGTCTGCACCAGGCTGACTTTTTTTCGAGGCTGACAAGTTAACTTTCCGTGCGAGATTTTTAAAAAAACCCACAGTCCCACGGACTAATCCGAAGCGAATTTACGAACGCGGAGAAACGGGGCGTGCGCCCGTCCTTCCAGCACACGGGCGCGGTGCCCACACGCCAAGGGGGGAGCGCAGCGCCCCGACCCGCCACCCCAGACCCAGCGCCAGCGACACCACCTCCCCGCCCCGCCGAGCCCCGGGCCGCCCTCACGGCGCCGCACCTCATAGAAGGCCTGCACCATCTCCACGAGCACCCACTGCTGCCCAGCCGCCGCCGCCGCCGCCGCCGCCGCCGCCATGGCCGCGCCCGCCGCTTCCGCCACCGCCCCAGCGCCGGTCACAAGGGGCGGGCCCGGCGCGGCGGCCACAGCGCCCCCTGCGGCCCCCGCGGGGCGGCTCCTCCCGCGGGAGGGGATGGGGTGTGTGTGTGGGGGGGTGTTTTATTACAGTCATAAAGTCACGGGGTCGTTAGAACCGACCCGGTTGGAAAAGACGTCCCAGGATCATCAACCCCTTTGATCCAACCACCCCCCCTCTCCCCCGCCCCGCCGCGGTTACCAGGCCGTGGCACTCGGTGCCACATCCGGTCTCGCCTTGAAAACCTGCAGGGGCGGTGAATCCACCACCTCCCTGCGCAGCCCATGCCAATGGCTGATCACTCTCTCTGAAAATTCTTTTTTTTTTCCAATGTCCAACTTAAACCTCACCTGGCACAGCTTAAGACCATGCCGTCTTGTCCTACTGCTGGTTGCCTGGGAGAGGAGACCGACCCCCACTTGGCTACAACCTCCTGTGAGGGGGTTGTAGAGAGTGCTGAGGTCTCCCCTGAGCCTCCTCTTCTCCAGAATCAACAACCCCAGCTCCCTCAGCCTCTCCTCACAGCACTTGTGCTCCAGTCCCTTCTCCAGCCTCGTTCTTCTCTGCCCCTGCTCCAGCCCCTCCATGTCCTTCCTGAGCTGAGGGGCCCAGAGCTGGACACAGCACTCCAGGGGTGGCCTCACCAGCTCTGAGTGCAGGGGAAGGATCACTGCCCTGCTCCTGCTGCCACACTGTTCCTGAGCCAGGCCAGGATCCATTGGCCCTCTTGGCCCCCTGGGCACACTCTGGCTCATGTTCAGCCTCCTGTCACTCCACGCTCCCAGGTCCCTTCCTGCCTGGCTGCTCTCCAGCCACTCTGTCCCAGCCCATGGTGCTGCAGGGGGTTGGTGTGGCCAAAGTGCAGGACCCAAAACTTGGCCTGGTTGATCCTCATCCCATTGGAATCAGCCCAACTCTGCAGCCTGTCCAGGTCCCTCTGCAGAGCCCTCCTGCCTTCCAGATGTTTGACACTCCCCCCAGCTTGGTGTCATCTGCATATTTGCTAATGGCACACTCAGTCCGCTCCTCCAGATCATCAATAAAGATATTAAACAGGACTAGGCCCAACACTGATCCCTGGGGGTTACCACCAGTGACCAGCCAGTTCTTAACCCAGCAGAGAGTGCCCCTATGTGAGCCATGGGCTGTCAGCTTTTTCAGGAGTGTGCTATGGCAGAGGTGCTTTTTTTTGGCATTGTGTGCCTCCTGCGTGGTCATCATTCCAAGCTGCTGTTTTCTGTGGCGGCCCTGTGGTCAGGGAGCGAGGCCAAGCTGGCACAATCGCAGCAGAATTGTGGAATCACAGAACACAAAGGATCCCATCAAGTTGGAAGGGACCGCAGTGGGTCATCTGGTCCAACCTCACTGCCCAACCCTCACCCCCAGGGTTGTCCCAGAGCACAGGGTTGCATATAGGCTGATCCTGAATATCTCCAGTGAGGGAGACTCCACACCCTCTCCAAGCAATCTGTTCCAATGCTCGGTCACCTGCACAGCAAAGAAGTTCTTCCTCATGTTCAGGTGGAACTTCCAGTGCATCAGTTTCTGCCTGCTTCCCTCTTGTCCACTGAGAAAATCCTGGCTCCATCTTCTTGGCATCCCCCTCTTTAGATACTTGCGTGCATTGATGCACCCTTCTGTGTTGAATAAATGAAATCAGCTATAAGTTGGGCTTGCCTAAGAAGATAAATGTAAGTGCATTTGTATGTACTGCCTCACCACATTTCAAACCCGGTCCTGTTTGCTGGCCATTCTGGAGTTAGCTTGTGTTGCTTTCTCCCCACAGCCCTGTGCTGTCCCTTGCTGGAATAGAGTGAGCGGCAGAGCCTGTGCTGTTGAAGGAGATGTTTGGGAACTGTTTTACTGAAACTAAACAACTGTGGAGGGTTTCTCATGGTCTTGTGGGGGAGCACAATGGAAGTGCAGCACTTGGGGCTTCACTCACGAATCTTCACCATGATTAGAGAGGAGAAACCAAAGCCAGCAGTTGACCAAAGAGATGATAGCAAAAAACTTATGGCAGTTGTAACTACAGAAAAACAGTAGGTTCCAATTTACAGTAGCAGATAATTAAAATCAGTGAACTTCACTTTCATGCTAGCTGAAATGAATAGCAGTTAATCTCCCTGAGCTTCTGAATGTAATGATACATTTGTTGAATTCCAGCCTCTACCCAATAAAGAGAAAAATGTGGTTTGAGGCTATCTGAAGAGGCAAGACAGACAATAAATGTCTCTTTTGGTTTTTATCTGCATGAAGACTGTTGTGTTCACTGTAAAGTACTTCTGTGGCCATTGTGTCATAATGCACTCTGGGACTCTTGGGAGATGGCTACTACTACCAGCCTCGAAGAATGTGTCTGGTATGCAGTCCCAAACTGTCCCCAGAAGAGTGGGCCACACTAGTTGTATTGGTGGGCAGCAAACTGAGTTACATCCCATCTCACCACCAGATTCTGACTTTCAGTGTTGAACATATATGTGTATGACTGGGAGACCGAGAAGTTGATTTTGTGGAACACTGGGTGAATTGTTTCCAGCGCGAAATGCGGTGAAGTTAATAACATAATAACCAGTAATTCTTCTGGCAGTGAATTCAGAGTTCCTGGCCTGGATCATCACAGCACTGGACCTGTCATAATAATGAGCTTATCCCTGTTGTTCAGCAGTTTCATTGTTTCAACACAGTGCAACTGCTGCTAATTGCTTAAGGCTGCTTTACTTCTGGCAGTAATAATAAAGGGAGGTGAAAGAAGCTCTTTGCAGTGGCAGTTTGTGATTGGAAAGAAGAAGGAGAGAAAAAACATCTTGAGTCTATCTGTGAACTTTGTCCTGACAAAAGCTTTTGAAATAGTGCCCTATGGAAATTCCTGATCTGTGTGTTTCAAATCTTATCATCTTCCCCTGATGTCCTCCATTTGCCCAGTATTCGTGGACCTTCCTCACCAACCCACTCATTTCCCGCACCCTGCCTTGAATTCCCAGCTCAGTTCCCCTTGGTCAGCACTGGCATGACAGTTATCTGTCATAGTTCTCTGGTCACTTTAGAAGCAGAAACATAGGACTTGGTGTGACTATCAGGAATTTCCTTCTTTTCCCAAATATCACACACGTAGCCAGTGCCAGTTATCTTCTGATCTGTATTCTCTACTAGCTCTTTCTCTGACTTCTTCATTTTTGCTTCATTATGAGATAGATAAAAGGAGTTCCTGTTGGCCTGGTATTGACTAAAAAGGGGGGAGAATGGTATTAGGAAGTGACACATCATCATGGCTGAGCTTAGCGAATGAAGATTTGGGAAGGGCTCTACCCACACTTGCTACAAGCACGCTGATGGCTAAAAAGGCCAATGCGAGATAGACAAGTCCGGTTGCAGAACGTACAGCAGAAAAACTCCCCGGGTGATATCGACAAGATGCGATTCTTTCTGCATTGTCTTTTCTCCTCCAGAGTGATCCTGCGTGTGTTCTCAAAAGCAGCAGCAGCAGCGTTATAGATGGTGTGTCTCCAGGCAGTGATGATCAGTATGGCCAAGGCTGAGGGATTGTTTCAGGCAGTCCTTGTATCTTCTCTTCGGGGCTCCTCTCTCACTGCAGCCAGTGGCAAGTTCCCCACAGAGCACGATCTTAGGGAGGCGGCAGTCCTGCATCCTGGAGACGTGCCCTGCCCAGCACAGCTGTGTTCTCAGCAGCAGGGCCTCAATGCTTGGGACTGCTGCCTGTTCAAGGACAGACGTGTTGGTCACATAGTCAGTCCAGTGGATGTTGAGGATTGTACGGAGGCAGCGCTGATGGAAGCGTTCTAAGAGACGCAAGTGGTGGCGGTAAATGACCCATGATTCAGATCCATATAAAAGAGTAGACAGCACGATGGCTCTGGAAACACTGATCTTTGTACTTCTCTTCAGGTGTTTGTTTTGCCACACTCTTTTATGGAGTTTACCGAAAGCTCTGTGTGCCTTTGCTAACCTGTTGTCTATTTCTACATCAATCTTACTGTCTGAGGAGATGATGCTTCTCGGGTAATTAAACTGTTGGACTGATTTGAGTGCTGTTTCACCAATGGTGATATGGGGATGATGGAAGACTTCCTGAGGTGCAGGCTGATAGAAAACTTCTGTCTTCTTCAAGCTGACTTCCAGGCCAAAAAGCTCAGCAGCCTCTGCAAAGCAGGATGTTAAACGCTGCAGAGCTATTTCTGTGTGGGTGATGAGGGCGGCATCATCAGCGTAAAGCAGCTCACGAATAAGATGATTTAAGGTCTCAGTGTGGGCCTTCAGTTGCCTTAGGTTGAAAAGGCTTCCACTGGTATGATATCAGATATAGATACCATTTTCTTTATCAAGGTCTGCCGTGGCCCTTTGGAGCATCACGCTGGAAAGGATTGTGAATAGAGTTGGTGCGAGAACGCAGCCTTGCTTCACACCACTGGCTATTGGAAAGGGCTCAGAAAGTGCGTCGCCATATCTGACTTGACCACGCTGGTCCTCATGAAGCAAGATGATCATTTTGAGGAACTTGGGGGGACATCCTAAATGTTCCAAAATCTGCCACAGACCTTTTCTGCTCACACTGTCGAAAGCCTTGGTGAGATCAACAAAGGTTACATAGGGCCCTTTGTTCTGCTCCCTGCACTTCTCTTGCAGTTGTCTGAGAACAAATACCATGTCTGTGGTACCTCTGTTGGCTTGGAAGCCACAGTGGCTTTCAGGTAGAAGATCTTCTGCTATGGCAGGTATTAATCTGTTCAAAAGAATTCTTGCAAGGATTTTCCCAGCAATGGAGAGCAGAGTAATACCTCGGTAATTTGAGCAATCTGATTTGTCTCCTTTCCTCTTGTACAAGGTGACGATGACAGTGTCACGAAGGTCTGAAGGCAGTTCACCTCGTTCCCAACAACACAAATTTGTGAAACTTAGCATGGAGTGCTTGGCCTCCATGCTCCCAGACTTCAGGTGGG